GGTTTTAATAATTCATCATTTCAATCAGATTTTATTTTGGTTGTTAGAATTTATCAGTTTTGACTATTTTTATTAATAATTTTGTTTTTTTGTTGTTGATTTAAGCTCTTTATTTCTGCCCCTCATAAATGCTTTTTTGGTTGTTTATTAAAGTAAACAACACAACAGCTTAGTGAGCAACTATTTAGATTTGTCTGTTAAGTTAAAGATAAATAAATGAAATAAAACATTTTATCACCTGCCTGTTTGGATCCACCTTCAGCCTCTCAGCAAAGGTTTGGATTATTTGGGTAATAATTATCAGCTGTGGCCAATTATTGAGTAAAAACATACAAAAACTCAACTAGACAACTCATTTCCTCAAGTTTATTGTTTCAAAAAACAACCAAAAAAGAAAAAACAAATCAAAGCTGAAAAATGACACTCTAAAGGAATCATAAGACATCAAGCTTTCAGCACGTTTGCATCTAAGCATCCAGAAATCGATGAGCTCGGACTGAAACTGGCCCAGGTGTGCAACAGGAGAGAACAGCAGAGGCAAAAGGTAGACAATATTTGATATGGACCACTTCGTATGAAAATATTTTAAAAAAATAATAATAATAAAGAATTCCTGGGAAATCGAATAAAGATGAGTAAAAATATAAGCAGAACTTTTCCTGTTGAATCAATTAAAACTTTACAAAATAAGAAACTATATGAGATAAGACGTTAAATTGTTTCCTGGCCTACCTAAAAGATTTATACATGACTTTATATAAAAAAACAGGTACTGGAAAGAGATGAGGGTGGTTTTCACTGAGCAGCTGAAAAAAAAAAACACCCTCAGCTTCATGAGGAGGTAGGTTTTCCGCCTCATGTACCCTTGTTTGGTGACATTCACATACCAAATTGTACCTTGTCCTCAAAGCTTCGGCTTGTTGGTGGGAAACACTTCAGCTTCGCAGTAGCCAGGCCAGAAATGCAGTTTTTATATTGAGATTCCCGACTGAAGGAAACAGATCGTTTGTCGCTATCCAGCCAATGTTTGACATTTATCTCTGAACAAAGCCGTTTGCAAAGAGGCAGCAAATCAAAAACATCCCTAAATGTTGGTTTAAGACACAAAGACACAATCCGGAGAGGAGCTGAAGACATTAAACTTTTCAAAGATTATTTCCTTTCACACAAAGTCTGAAGAAACTGCAGATTCATCACTAAGAATCCGGATTGAGGCTTTAGTTTCCAAAGCTCAATAAAAACTGCCCGTTTCTGGCGAGGCTAGTGGAAGTAGGACTGCAGGGTACCGCGGCGGCGGACATCGGTTGTCCAGCAGTGGAAGCCCCCACCAAGGGAGTTGGCATGGCGAATGTTCACCTTTATGGTCTGGATACCTGCAGGGGAACAAAAAGCGTTATTTCCTGGTTCTTGACGCTGAAAAGAGGCGGAGCCAGCCGACGCTCACCGAGGCTCTCGAACATTTTCTGAATGGTGGTTTCGTTGGCGTCCACCATGACTCGTTTCTCGTCCAACATGAGGACGTTCATGGACAGCCATTTGGAGGACATCCACAGAGGGTGATCTGCTCACAAAACAAAACAAAAACTACCGTCRTCAGAAAACACAAGTCTGAACGCTGAGTCAGCATCTTCTGCTGGTTCAGAATTTATTTTTTGTTTTTTTACAATCCTACTGCTCCTGCAGAGATTTAGACATTTTAGCTGTTTARGTAAAAACGTTCAGCTCATTCAGGAGAAGACGCTAAAACTTTTGGTTTTTGTAACTTTACCAACATATCTGCTTCAGTGTTTTATTTTTGTCTCCTTCAGCAGCTTAAACCATTTAAACAGCRTTTTGCTACTTTTTACATTTTGTTAGCATTTGTTAGTTTTACCTTTTAGCTAGTCTTTTGCTACTTAAAGCATTAAGTTAGCATTTATTAATTTTAGCTATASTGTTTTGCTGCTTTTACCAGCTTTTTGGTGCTTTTAGTGTTTTGCTGCATTTGTTGTTTTTTAGTTTTAGCTTCAGATATGATGTTGTCTTTAGTCTCTCTTCTCTACATGTTTATTGTTATTATTTCTATCATGTTTTTTCTTTGTCTCTTCCAGA